GACAAACATCAGACCGAGACGACGTTACTTTCTGGCACCCTTCATATTTCTGCCAACCCATGCGAAAGGTCAAATCAAATTCCATCATTGATTTGTGGTCAAATTCATATCAAAGATCAGCGTGACCACCGATAGGGCAGAGGAAGATTTTGATGACGTTCAATAATGATTTAAGCCGGCCATTCCTCCCTGTCACCCTGTATCTCCCCGTTAGACCGTGCGCCGTTCAACATCGGTGTAACACAAATACATAGCGTGTTTCGGCTGTTTATGCACGGACGCAAACAAGTCGGTACACGGGGCCTCGGTGTGTGCAGAAGTTCCGCGTTCCCAGCGTGTACCGGGCCGCTTTACACGTGCCAGTACAAACCGGGCAACGTTTAGACTGGAATCGAAATTGAAGTGCCGGAGGATACTGATGCCGAAACAGATTGGATTTAGTTGAGACGCATATCGATCTGTCATTACGTTCCGCTCTGACGGCTGCGCCCGCGCGAGCGCGCGCCTCCCGTTATCCTGTGACTCTCGTTTCACGCGGGCACAATGCAGCCACGCTGTGACGCGCGCGAGAAGTTTGAACAAGGAAATTATTGCCGTTACACCGCTACTTGGACGCGAAAGTTATTATTGCTAAACTGTTTACCGTGACACGGGGAACGCGAGCCCGAGCGCACGCCTGCCATAACGCGATTGCGATGATTTTATACGTGGCATAACTCACAATCGGGCTGAATTATTGCCAGCGCCAGCATCATGACCTACATTAACAGTACTGGAACTTCACGCGATGCGGTTAATTTTGTATTTGCTGCGTAATTAACTCAATGTTGAAGCAACTGACGGTCTAGCTTTCCAGGGATTTACTTCCGGGGATCGATTCACGGTGTTAAGATCCTCATTGTCGGCTCAGACTAATCCGGGCTGTTAATTTTCTTGATATTATCCCGCGATATATTAGTATTATTGCGGCGGAATTGTTTGATACTTGTAATAGTGAGGACTGTTCAAATTTGGCTAATTGGAGAGTCCGTGGTGACGTATGTATGTTTGATGTAGCTTACTGTGTAGGATGCTTTGGACAGGATATTAATCTGTATGGAAGATGAAGTCTTGATGAAGAATTGGTTGAAGATTCGTTTGCTATGTACTGGTATACGTCGATTAAATATGTAAAAAATTGGACAAGAACGTATATGTATGTATAGACTTGATACTTGCGTTTATGTAAATATATGTACATTGTGTGAACTAAACATTTGTATTTAACCCGTTGACCTAGGATTTATTTCTGAACTACGACCAATCTAGCTACTTTATTATTAATAATTTATTGAAAATGAGAGAAAATTCTAGTCTTATTCTACATCAACGTGTGCTCTAAGGTATAATCATTGGTTACAGAGGAATAATATGCAATTTGCATTCAAACAAATTGAATAATATTTATGTTTGTTAAATTCTATTTGAAATCTTCAAGGGGTTAAACTACATTAAATTTATCGGATTGAAGGTAGATAGTAATTGCATTGATCTGAAGTGAAATTCCCTTGTCACTGTATTTCAGTGTGTTTCACTATGTTTTTCTATATTTTTCCATTGCGGAGTCACGTTATTCACGATCTGGATTTCCGTGAAAAATTATGCTCTGATTGACTTCACGCGTTTCAAGAGCAAAGGACACCCTTTTCCTGCGGAGTGACAAAACAAAATGGAATACACCGAATTTGACATGCAATTCACGGTAGATTGGATTTCGAAACGTTGTCACAGCGTAGAGGCAATCACGGGTACTGGCACGCCAGTCAACGCGTTAATCAGATTTGGCAAAATTGTTATTCAGTTTTTATTTAAAAAAAAGCCCCGCGAAATTTCATAGGGAAAGAGAAAAAAAAATATATAGCCGCATGACAAATGAGATCGGCTGTGATTTCAATCCGAAGTTTCGCAAAGCTCCGTTTTGTTTAACCGACGCGACGTAGAAAAATAGCGATACCCGTGGTCCGCGTGTTTAATTATTCGATCAGATCGAACGAAATATATATGCATCACGAATCGGCCGGTTTGCGGTGTATTCAGAAAGAATAAAACTAAAAAAACAAAAAAAAAGCAACGAAACAAAGGCTCACGGTAAAAATTCGTCGGGACCGTTGCCGCGTCGATTTCGCCCGGTCGATACCGTCCCAGACATGACAGGAAATTAATTATAAATATTTCTCGGTCATAACGGTAACGCGATCGTTTGTGCAATCGTGTTTCAATGATTCCATATTTCACGGGGATACGATTTCTTTGTGGCAGATGACTGAACGCGATTCAATGCGATGCGAGGGTAGAGATGACGTACGAAGAAAATTACTTCGAAGGGGAATGCATGAATATCGTAGCGAAGAATCAGTGCGTACGGTTTTCTGGTGCGGTGCACAATCGAAACGAATAAATCTCGAGGAAAAATCTGGAAAAACTGGGGAGTATGCAGCTTCATAACAAAAGCCTTTTGTACAACGAACGATACTCTCCCATTGAATGCTATTATATTCTGTCATATGGCTTTACAACCCTTCTTGCGCGCTCACGAATATCTAGCTGCTTTTAAACACAATTGCGCCTTTTCTTCTTCTTCTTCCTTCTCTTCTTCTCCATCTTCTTACTCTTCTCTCGTGAACGTGCTGCAACAATTACGTAAACAGTCTCGCTCCGCGGAATCTTTATACCCTCAATAATTGAATTCCAACGAAAGCCGAAACGCAGTTCCGCTCCGATGTGAGCTAAGAAAATTCCGAGTCCCGTTTTCATTTCTCCTTCTCTTCTCCCTGCATATTTTTTCCCCTTATATCATGGATTATTGTACGCGATCGGTTTCCGTTTGTCCGAACCGTAAAACTTGAAGCAATGGTTCTGTAAAATGACGGTTCTCGATTCCATCCGAATACTCCACACCGTCGGACAGCCGGAAGATCACGCGATACGAAAATAATACCGCGCGCGGGATCGTTCCGTGAAACGTGTAATTAATAAAGATTTTAATTAAATCACCGTATCGCCAGACAGATCCGACGTTTACAGCGATATTTATCTCGCCCCTGGATCGGGGTATAAATGACGTCGCGTTACATGCGATGTTAGTTACGGAATTCAGGTCGTCGTCGCCGGCCGGCTAACATTTGCGAATGCTTCCGTGTAATCCGATTTAGTTTTACTTATCACGCCGTTCAAACACTTAGAAATATTTGCATCGCGGCCGTGCCCGCTTTCAGCCGTCTCTACGGCTCGAAAATTCGGTTTTCCGCCCGCCCCGCCTCTTCACGCTCCCCCGCCTCTGTTTGAGGTCATTTAACATTTTTCCTCGGCTCGCTGGGAACCGTGGAACGTATTCCCGCCGCCTCCGCCGCCCGATGTGAAACCGTGTGCAGTTGATTTTTCCAACGAGCGCGCGCTTCGAGTGAACCCGCGAGTGCAATTCGGAAATTTGATTTTCCAATGGTTGTAGTGCTGCGGAAAAGTGGGAATAATGATACTGAAATTGACAAATCCGCCGCAGGATCGAGGGCGTCGAAGGTGAAATGTTCGAAAGGCTAATGAATATTTTCTATTTTTCGGTTTTTAAACGTTTCGGGAGGATTGAAGCGTGTGGCGATGCTCGGATGGCTCGTTTCAATCGTGGCAGACGAACAGAAAGTAGATTTTTAAGATTCTTTTTGTAAAGAACTATTGAACGTAGTGGATCTAAGGTTTTTAGATTCAGTAATATGTATTTAAAAAATGAGGAATATATTTTTAAGTAAAAATATTGATTTACGTTGAAGTTGAGTGAGTCCTACGCGAAGAATTTATCTCAATGGGTAAGATGATATTTGGGACGTTAAGCACTTGAGATCAATTGCATGTTTGATAACACATACTTGAAATTATTTACATATGTAAGGCATATTTAGTAAGTGGGACAGGTTATAATTCTGTTTCCTATTAAAGTTAAAAAATGATAAATCTTTGCACTATTTGACAGGCACTACCACACTACAATTCTAGATTTTTCATAAATGTATCAATGCAGTTGCAAAGTGTAATTGCACTTTCTTTTAAAGAAAGCCTGCGTTTTTTTTTTATATAAAGTGTTTCTTTGCGTCATTTTAAGTAAAAAAGGTTTAAAACACTGTTACTGAAAATTTAATATGTTTCATATATCACTTCTATTCTTTCGTAACAAAGTTAAACAGAAACAATTATTAATTATTTGCATCACGATTCTTACATTATACTATTACGTAGTTATGTACACTATTAAACATTTTTATTCGATATTAGTTATCTTATAAATCGTAATTGTTTTCAATTAATTTGGAAGTCCGTGGCAGTCAACGTGTTAACCATTTGCACTCGAAAGTTTTTCATTAGAAATATTCCACAATTTCTAATGAGTTATAGACGAAGTGTTTTGAAACTAATTTAATTATAACTCACACATGAATTAATGAACAAAAGCTATATTACTTCAATGTTTCACATAGTAACACGTTATATAAAATTTTATTTATAATATTTAATTAAATATATTACATGTTTAATATGTAATATATTTAATATTTTACATGTTTAATCGGAAACAATTATAATTTGTAAAATAACTAATGTCGAATAAAAGTGTTTAATAGTATTAAATCAAATAGTGGCTGAAAGTCACCTCTCGAGTGCAAAGGGTTAAATGTTAATCGACATATGGCCCTAAACTTTCGACCAGCAGTGTATATTTTATATTTTAATAATTTGGAATATGATAAATTACTCAAACATTACTACTGACATTACTATCCAAATGAAAAAGAGGATAACATTCTCAACGCTAAAAGATTCAGCAGTTTTATTCTAACCTCGCTCGAATATTTTTTACATGACGGAATAAACACATTTATTTCATGTTGATAAAAATCCGTGTCCCGAGCAATAGTAAACTGCTGGAAAACGTTCTTGATGTCCTCTTATTTTCGAAACCATTTCTCTCCCAGGAAATTGTTCAATGGACGAAGAAAGTGGAAGTCAGTTGGGGATAGACCTGGAATATAGGAGGTGAAGTTGAACTTTGATACGAAACTGGTGCCATTTTTGTAAGAACGTGTTTGCGACGTCCAGTTGGCCATTATTACACAGAAAAATGAGACTCTCTACTAACCGGCGACGGTTGCTGTTCTTTTAATTTCCGGTAAACAACTTTTAATTCATTACTGTGTCATTCTATTGTAGTGTTCTTATTCTCTTAAAAAACTGTGATAGATTAATCTTTCTTCTTACAATCTCTTCCATAACTGTGCTCATCAGAGTTCCTTTCTCATTAATAATCATGACATTTATTTTTATTAGTTAAATCAATCTCTATCTACTCGTCAAGCAATGGTACAACATTTTTTAAAATGAAATATAAATATAATTATACTTGTCTATCATATTTTCAATGTACTAATTTATAAGTATCTGTTTAACAATTGATTTCTTCCTTAGGCGTCGACACAAGGAAACATTAATTTGTTTTAAAATAAAGCAAATAAACGATGTAAGCAAAGATTTCGACATAAATGAAGAAGATTCATTTGCATCCACTTATCGTAATACCCTTTTGTTGTTACATACAAGATTCACATATCGTTGTATTTCATTAAGCGGATTTACGAACGTAATAAACATAATATTACTGAACTTCGTATAATATCCAGACTATTTATGAGGTATCGATTCAACATGCTTTTATTTCTTATTACCTTACATGGGTGATTTTGTACGCTATTGTGAGAAATCCGGAGCTTCTCAGCTGAATCTGCACAAGCTCTTTTGGGATTAGCTACCACTAGTCCGTTTAAATGATCGTCTATAAGACGTCAGTGTTGCTCGCCATCCAAGGCAACTTCGGGTTTAACATCTTCCTACTTGAACTTCCAAAGTCATCCTCGCATCGTTCCGTCTTCTAACTTTCCGCCGAAAACTATTTCTGAGTAACTTTATTACATAAGAATATTGTTACCGAAATCATTAATATTTCTAAGTTTTTACTTGAATCAATTTTCAATGTAATAAGAACATCCACAAAAATATAACCATGAAAGTTTGGGTTTTGCTTTTAATACTAAAATAATGAATATAATAAATGAAACGTTTCTAATTCCTACATTTTAATGTTTTTATATTCGTCTAAAACAACTAGCAAAAGTATAATAGATAAAAATCCACATAAAATATATGGAGAGTTAGTTGGAATAAATCAGAAGGATTATATAAAATGAAAAGCTCCTTGTAAGCTTTCGAAGGAAGGTGAATAAAGAAGAAAAAAACATACGATTCATATAATACGGGGAAAAACTAGTAACGCTATCCGGAGCTAGTTTTCCACGTGATTAGGTTTGTAAGTTCTGACATCCGGTGTTTAATTTCTTAAAAGGAATGACTTTTCGAGACGATTGAGTAAAAAAGTTCCGATGTGGCTTCGGGGCCGCCCTGAAACTATTGAACACGCGCAGGTAAACACAATTTACGATCCGTTAAATCAAAAACGGTACATTTGTTCTCAATTGCCTGTAAGATCGTGTTATATAACGAGAGCCGTGGCACACACACGCGGTGGCCTTGATGTTTTATTAAATTGGACCTTACCGAAGTAGAAAGAATTATTCATGTGACTTCTAAAGTGAATAACCCTGTCTGGACTCGTGAGAACACGTGCGATTGAACTCGACATTCTGCAGTATATCGTGAACAATCGAGGATTTGCGAGAAACGATCGTAACAAGACTGATTTATATCATATGTGATCATGATACGAGTGTGAATGAGTCCTTGAAATCTTTAAAATGCAATCTCAAACATTTGATACCTTCAATATAAAAAGTGAACAGCCGTAGATAGACATTAATTAACTCGTTGAATGTCATAGGGATCACCGATGACGTGTGATAACAATAATGCAATACAATCAAATAATTTAATATTATATTTTTCCAGTTTGTGCATTTTACTCTATGAAATCGTGCGGCACTCAATGTTTTAAGTAAAATAACTTTTCTAATAAAATCTCGAATGAAAAGAATCATTCTTTAATTTTCTATCGACACGCTTTGATTCAACTATTCAAACTATTTTACAAAGCTTGTATTAACTGTATTAAACTGCGTTAAAAGTAATTTTGTTGCAGCCTTCAGTAGCAATCTCTTCATCAATAAGAAAAAGAACTATTTCAGCGAAATAGTTGAGAATTACAATTTCAAATCAATTTCTTCCTTCAACCATACATGCATATTCACGTAAAATCCATACGAGCTGGAACATTTGCTCCCAACATTTGCCTGCGAAAAATGGAACTCCACATTTTCCTTCTGATCAAATAAGTGAACCCAAACATTCAAGGGTCAGCAACGTATCCTTGTACGTATCCTTGTTCGCTGGTGGTAAAAGCGACTCGAAACTCCCCAACATTGGTACAAATCAGAACGAAATCTGTCCAACGATTTTCCCTATTTATATGCTCGCCGCAGTATGTAAATGCGACCGTACGTACTTACATGAATATGATCTTCGAATACGCGGTCATTCAATTGGATCGCGGGCAGAGGAACACAACCGAAACGACTTTAACCTCTTACTGTCGACCCCGATGCATACCGTACCGCCGTGCTTAAGGCTTAACGTGTCGTTTATTATTGTAGCGCAGTGGTATAGATTCCTAGAGATCTAACTGTGCCAGCCCATTTGCCCGCGGTTCGTTTCTAGATCAGTGTAAAGACTTGTTAACTCGCATTAATCCCTTCACACATTGACTGGCACGAGAATTTGAACCGTTTTATGTCGTCAAGGTGACTCTGAGAGTGTGGTTCAAGAGAGAAAGTCTCACTGGTTTTGTAGCATAAGTTTTTATTTAGTTGAACTGAGTGTAATATTTAAGTACAAACGTCGAAGTGTCACTTGTCTAAAGAAAACTGCCTAGTTTCTTCCGTTTTTCCACCGTATTTAAAGGACTTTGTGAAGGAGTGGAGGAAAGAGAATTTGGGAGAACTGAGGGCTGCAGCGATTTGGTGGGGGTGTAGTTTTGTAATCTTGGAATTCCATCACGGCAGTCCCTGAATTTTGGAAAAGGTAAATTTTGTCATCAGATGCATAAATTTGGTATCTAAAAGGAAACCTGGACAGCTAGAAGGAAAAAGGGATTTGCAAGATACATAATGTAGGTGCATAGACAGGAGGTTGTTTTAGGTTCGGAGAAAAGGCGGAAGATTATAATGCAACCTCGGAAAGGACCTCCACTTAACGTCCCCAAATGAGATAAAAAAAGGGTGTGTGGTGATGCTTATCACGATATTTATACAGAGTGATGAAAAAAAGTATTTATAATGTAGCATTGGGAATTTTCAGCGTAGTTTTAAGATATTTTTAAGAAGTGTGAATGCGATAATGAGCGTGAGCGGAGGGTCATAAAAAGGGAAAGACTAATGATCAAGGAAAAATGGCCTGCACAACGTCGTAGGCACAAGGTTTCTAGTTAGGCTTCAAAGGGCTGTGTTTGAGAGTTTGTTGAGAGTGCGAGTGAAGAGAATAATTGTGGGGGAGAGAATAATTTTTTAGTGTGAATGGTCGAAAGAGTATCTGTGTCGAGAGAGTCGTGTGTTAGCCTTCGTAGCAATAAGTTGTATAAAATCGAGTTGGTCTTCGTGACAGCGAGTCGTATGTCGTTTTAGTTGTGCGTTCTTAATATGTAGTTTTTTCTTATTTTTAATAAACGTAATTATTTGTTAGTTTCCTATATTCCTGTTTTTATTATTCAGGATTCATATATTTTACACTACAATAATTTCTAGGACACTGTCAAATATTAATGAAGTATTATAGATGATACTAACAAAATATTGACAGGGTAGATACTACTGTCAAATATTAATATTAAATAAAAGTTCTAATGCACATGGATTGAAAAATTAATATTCACAAATTTGTAAACAATTTTGTGTTTCGGTTAAAGCCGTTGATTTTCTCGCTTTGGGAGCTATAACACTGCACGGAAAAATGAATTTCCTTAAAACAATAACGGTTACTCTGAAAAACAATAGACTATATTTTCTGTTCCCGGTATAGTAATATTATAATTATAGTTTCTGATCTTGTATTACTATACAAGCCTAGAGGGAAAAGACAGATATAATCCACTCTTTTATTGTCAATCCCTCGTTCCCGTATATGCCCTTAAAGGGTTAAACCAGACCAACCTCTGAGACTTCGTTGAGAGAACGACGCAATGCATCCCGACGAAACCTTTTCCGAGGCGGAGTTCATCGAAACCAATAATGATCGATTCCACCGGCCCCCACCCCGCCGATGCAAATTGAACCGGAGTTTCTGTAATTTAATCGTCGTACATCAAGATCAGTCCGGATCCTATTATCAAATGGAAGTTCACGCGGGTGTAATGGATAATATGAAAACAAAAAAGATAAAGGGAAGAGAGAACGAGAAAGAAGAACAACGGAAACACCGATCACTCGACGAAATTGCTTTCATCGGGGAAATAATGGATTTTTATGAGCGTCATAAGCCCCGGGGTGTGCCGATTTCATCAATCAGCTGGTTAATTGTCAATTTGGAACGCGTGCAGTGCGCCCGACGGATTAACGCTGACAAAACGCGCGGGAATATATTAAACGGGCGTGGCCGGATTAATTAAAATAATCTGCCGGTAGGTAATAGGGAGACAATGTTTCTTACCGATTTATCGGATCCTATTACTTTTTGGCCCGGCGAATTGCTGCGGGCGACCCAATTCGAAGATCAATTGTTTCGATAATTGCATTCTTACCGCACCTTCCCGTTATTCCCTTTTACGTAAATAATCGTGAATCAACAACGTTACCGGCTGGAATGCGAGCGCGTTATCGTCGCCAGTGCAATTATTACATCGATCACGTTTCAATTACCGTTATTATTACGTTTCAGTGAGCCAGTGGTCAACGGGAACGCAACGTTAAACTGCCGGAAACACTTGCACGCGTAACTGTTTATCAGGTTTTACGGGAAACAAGAGCCAGCGAGCGAACGAGAATATCGGCCTGATTTTGACGCGTTATTGTTTCCACGGCAGGAATCGCGTCAACCGACGCATTCGGACGTCAATTAAATCAAAACAGTGTGTCTCCACTTATGTTGCTGATGGCTTCGACTTGTCCTGGACATTTTCAGCGGCGTATTTAGAGTCTATGCACACAAGCGACGCGATCACGTTATGATGTCATAGTAATTGTTTTGGAGTAACAGCGAAACAAAGTTTTTCTGTCTCATAAACAAAAAGATTAAGAGAATTTTACGTCTTTGTTCTTCCAAAATGGCACATCATCACCGCTGCGTTCCCCCAGCGAAATCGTGTTGCTCCTGTGTACAGGTCCTTAACCAATCGACCATTGCGGCGCACACTGCGGCCGCCTGTGGACAAAACCCAAAAATTCGACTATCCAGATGACGGTTACCGTCAGGTTTTGAAGGTTACCAATCTGTTGCTATGTAGTCCCTACTATACAAAATGATTTATATTTTTATTAAAAATTCTGTGCAAATAAATTCCGTTTCTCTATTTATATAACGTT